CCCTTGTGCGCGTGCCGGTGGTGGCTGTGTGGTGCGGGCGGCCTGGCGCTGGGGGGCGCTGACCTGTTCCGTGTCGTCCAGCGCGTCGTTGTGCACCGCGTCCTGCCGGCCCTGACCTCGGAGTTCGTGAACCCCGACATGGTGCCCTTCGTGCTGCCCAACGTGCTGCTGATCGCCGAGCAGTGCACCAAGGAGGAGTACGTGAGGCTGATCCTGCCAGAGTTGAGCCCCGTGTTCCGGCAGCAGGAGCCTGTGCAGGTACTGCACCCCCCCGAGGGCACGCCTCTGTCCTAATGGCATAAAACGGGGCACCCACAAAGAAAAATGTCTTTTTTTTAAATGTAATCATTTAGCTTTTATTTTTTTCTGTTTTTTTTTTTCATGCACACAGGCTAGCAATATGGTGAGTGGACTTGTCCTGTGAAAGTTGTTCTTCTCTCTAATTCTTCAAAACTGTTAAGCTGCAAACAATATGTGCGTGGCTGGAGGTCGTGGCGTTCGATAGGTTCGCATTTTTAACTCCCCCTTTTTCCCGCCCCCTTCCAGATTTTGCTCATCTTCTTGCAAAAAATGGATTTACTGCTGACTAAAACCCCGCCTGACGATATTAAGAATAACGTCCTGCCGATGGTTTACAGAGCCCTGGAAGCTCCCTCCATCCAGATCCAGGTGAGGCCAGCGGTCAGGGCTCAGCTGTGCGGAGATGTGCAGGACATGGCCCTGGGCTCAGTACAGCAGCTTGACCTCGGGTTCTGCTCTGCTCTGCTCTCGGTGGGGCAGGACACCAGTGGTCTCGGCGACGCCGGGCCACACACTGCTGTACTGAAGACCCCACGGTCACGCTTGGCTTGTAAATGGGAGGAGGAGCCTTGATTAGAATTCGTGTGAAGAAAAGGCAGGAGGAAAACAATCCTGTTAAACTCAATAAGGGAAATAAAAATTCGTAAAAGTTCTAGGTAAGAAAATGGCAGATCAGGTGACTAATTTTTCACTGTGCTTCCATCCATGGTGGCGATTTGAGCAAGGACTTGCATAATTCGTCTGCATTTCCGCCCATTCGTCTTCTTGCATGGTGCTACGTTTTGCATTTCTGCAGGCTATACGTATAACAGTGCTTCACTACTGCACTGGACTTAATGCACTGAGTTACAGTTGCCTGTGAAATTGTGATTCTTAATTCAGTGCAAACTGATATTTCTATGTAAATTGGAGAAAGACATCAATGAAATACTAGAAAGGTCTGCAGCCCCTAGACTGCCTGAGGTTTTGTCCTCTTATGCATCAGCAAGTTCAAAGGAGTGCTGCCAAGTCGGATGATTTTCATGGAGTTCTGTATGGAAAGACCTGAATCATTTTTTAGACATTACATATTTGTTTAAGACTAGAACTCGGGGATCGGACTGAACTCCCCTTGAGAGCCTTAACGCTGTGAGGTCAAAATTGAGCAGAGAGCCATCAATCTAAAATAAACCCAAAAGGAGGCTTGGAGTATGTGACGAGAAGAGTTACTGGGTTTTGCAGATCTCGCAAGTGTTTTCAGACCTAATATGAAGACATAGCTGCATGTGGTATTACAGTAATTGGAGAATACCCTTATCTGTAACATTTTTCACTGTTGGTGTGGGAGAAATGTCCTTCCGCTGCGAAACCCCTAGATGAACGTGGAGACCAGTCCGTCTTTCCAGAGGATGAAGTCCGTTACAGGAGGAAGGGTAACAGGGTAGTAGTGAGATGACTAATGTTCATGTTGGTTTTCCCCGATTCCGCAGGAGCTCTGCCTGAACATTATCCCCACGTTTGCCAACCTGATTGATTACCCCTCCATGAAGAACTCTTTAATCCCCAGGATTAAAACCGCCTGTCTGCAGACGTCTTCCCTGGCGGTGAGCTGGACAACTTGCTGTAGTTTGTAGTGCGGCTCATCCTTCTGTGCAGCTCTCATTGCTGGTCTAAATGAACCCGTTTCAGTTTTATTGGTAACGGACCGCGTGTGTGCTACACACACCTGGGCGACACAGCGGGGCGGTGGTCGGCATTGCGGCCTCGCAGCTCCAGAGCCCCGAGCTCAGTTCCTGGGGTGCTGTCTGTGTGGAGTCTGCATGTTCTCCCCGTGTTCGTGTGGGTTTCCTCTGGCGGCTCCAGTTTCCTCTCTCGGTCCAAAGACATGCTGGTAGGTAAATTGGCTTCTGGGAAAGATGGCGTTGGTGTGTGTGTGTCTGTGTGTTCCCTGCGATGGACAGGCGTCCCGTCCAGGCTGTATCCTGCCTTGTGCCTGTTGCTTGTCAAAACAGGCTCCAGGTCCCCTGTGACCCAGTACTGGCTGAAGCGGTTTCGAAAATGGATGATGGAGAGATTCACACACTGGTGTTCCACCGAATGACGGCCGAGGAGTGGAAATTCAAAGCTGCCTGTTGCTGTTGGGGTTATAGATGACTGTAACACTGGGAGGCGTTCTGATAAAAGCATTGCTGAGGGCTGGAGAATTTTAAAGTAACAATTCTTCCATATTTGGCATATTTCTGAGATCTTAGCCTGGAGCAAGGCATCCAGCCATGTCGTTAAAGCTGATGCCTTTCCAGCTTTCAGTAAGTGGCAGAACAAGCTCCTCGGTTCAGTTAGTACTAATAATTCAATTAGCTACTAGTATCTCAATGAGCGAGACGGGCTGAATGACCACCTCTTGCCTGTTACCCTGCAGTTTTGAGCCTGTAAGGTGTGTTCTTCACTGTGGTCAGTATGCGTAGCTCAGCTTTCCCTGGCACAGTGACGTCGGCCCTCCGCGACGCTTGCTGGCCTCATCTCATCTTGCCTTCCCCGTTGTTGGAGTCCAGCCTGTTTCTGGCTCGTTCTCTCCGCTGGCTACCCATCGCCTCATCTGGTCCGATCTCGGAAGCCGAGTGAGGCTGGGCCTGGTTGGTACCGGGATGGGACACCTCTGGGGAAAACCTGGGGGTGTTGGTGAACTAGCAGGTGGTGCTCTTGTTTCTGGGCCATAATTTCAAATCCAGTGCCCTGGCATGGTGACTGGGGACACTGTGCTGTATGAGGTGTCATCCTTTGGATGAAACATTAACCAGAGTTTTTAGATGGATACTTTATTGATCCCGTGAGGGAAATTGCAGTGCAACAGGAGCCTGGCACAGTCAACACAGCACAGTGTAACAAAATAACGCAACAATACAATACACTCAGTGAGAAGTGCAGTAAAAAAAAGGAGTATATAGAATATATATCACTCCTCCTTCTGATCAGTTGTGCAGTGGGTCTGCTGGTGCAGAATGGCCTCTGTGTGTCTCCCCGGTGCAGCAGTACTACAGGGTGGTACAGTGGGTCCCCTCTAATTTGTAAATGGCTTTGAGATCATTCCGGGTGTAAGGTGCTATACTAATGCAAGGTCTTCCTTGAGGAGACTGCCTGCAGAGGAAGTGCCCTGGGGAGGAATGTCAAAGTTGCAAGGAGTTCAGTTTGTAAGTCTGCTTCAAGGCGAAATGCAGGTTTTCTTCCCTTCATCACTTATTGCAGATGGTCTTCAGTATTGCCTAGACCCATAACAAGTACAGCGTAGATGATATATCCCACATCTTTAATGAGCTCTAATCTACAGCTTCCAGCAGCTTGTCTGCTGAGTAGAATTTCTGATCGGACCTTGACTTTCTTCTGCAGGTCCGTGTGAATTCCCTGGTCTGCCTGGGCAAGATCCTGGAGTACCTTGATAAGTGGTACGTGATAGACGAAATTCTGCCCTTCCTGCAGCAGATACCCTCCAGGGAGCCGGCGGTGCTGATGGGAGTTTTAGGTAACGTTCTTTCTGTGCCCTTGCTGATCCGCAGCGCTCGCCCGCCAGCCCTCACTCGCGTCGGTTTGGGAAAGCATCTGTTTTCGGTACCGTCTGAAAACATTACAGTCCGCTGGAACTTTCTGCTAGGAAGTAAACGGCAATGTAAATCATGCAAAAAAAAAATGAAGAAGCTCTGACTTCGTGGACATTTTAAATGTGGCATTGTATCGGAGAATCATTGTGTGATCGTGGTTCTCGAACTGTGGAGCGGGGGGCTTCTGTGAGTGCTGGGGGTGTTGGGTGGGGTGTGGGCAGAAGGAGGGAGGGCTGTGACCCTCTGAGGAAGTGAGGAGCTACCATCACTTCACAGAGATTCGTGGCTGCTGTGCTGCCTGCCTACCAGACTGGCGTTGGGTGATCTGGATTTATTTTACTTCACAGCCCACAAGTAATGATGGCGTTCTGTCTCTCAGAAGCTCCTGACTGTGTGGGGGGGGAGGAAACCTTCAGTCATCAGATCTTGCTTAAAGGAGCCATTATAAAGCCATGTGATATTGCTCTGTAATATTTACTAATGTCGGACTCGACACAAAAAGTTTGCATCCTTTTTGTCAACCTTTTTTTAGAATTATTTTTAGTTTTGAAGTGATATTAAAAAAATAAATAACTGAAAATACAAAACATAAAGAGTAATTACCAGGAAACAAAATAGAAATTGTAATGATGCCAAAAGGTAAAATGTGATAAGAAGGAATAAAATGTCAATATGAAGTATCAACATAAAATAGGGAAGAAAAAAAATATAATTAAACAACAGGCAATAAGACAAATATTATCTAAAAGCTAAATTAAGAAATATATTTTGATCTGCTTCTTAAACTTAAAACTAAATCTGGCTTATATGCGATTGTGGCCTCTTTATTGTGCTCATGTTTGAGAATATCCCCATTTCTGAGTTATTTTCTCTGCTCTGCTGTCTGTCCCACAATAGGCCCCTCTTTGAAACAAATTACTGTTGTCCACTGAGGCGGTCTGCCTGAAGCAGTTTTGTCAGATCAGTCCTCTGTAGAAATCATTTCACAGCAAACAATATTTTATTCTGCATCCGAATATTTAAAGAATAGTAGTCTGGTCTGACTTAGATTTGGTTAAATTTTACACCTGACTTCTGAAAAATAAATTTTAATTCAAGACATGACATGCTTTTGATTCTTCCATTAATTTCTCTAATGAGGATGCTCTATAAAGCAAACATGTGATGTATTTTAAGATTGACCACTGTGTAATAAACCATTAGCTCAGCCAATCCATGTGTGGCGGTAGTATTGTGATCTTTGAGTGTGTGCTCCAGTGCCATTGTGTTGTAATTCTGGGATTTTATTTTCTTTCCTGTGGGACAGATTTACCCTGTGGTCTTTCTGGATGTTACTGTTCTAGAGCAAATTGAAGATAAGATAGGATCACTTTATTGGCCATATACAATTTTTTGTATGAGGAATTTGTCTTTTCACAGACCCCAGCTTGCTCTCCATGAGACACACAGACAGGGACAGAAGCTGGGGGTCAGAGTGCAGGGTCAGCCATTGTACAGCGCCCCTGGAGCAGTTGGGGTTAAGGGCCTTGCTCAGGGGCCCAATGGAGTAGGATTCCTCTGCCGGCTGCAGGATACGAACCGGCAAACTTCCAGCCACAGGCGCAGATCCTGAGCCACAGAGTCCCCGCTCCGCCCCAAATGATCTCTGAAATGCTGAAACAAGCTCTTTAGGTTACCACTTAGAATAAAATATTTCTATATGGTTTTCAATGGGTTAAACGTTCAAGAAAAACTGCCGTTTGTTGAAAGAGTCGTTTAAATCATTTGGGGCCGATGTCTTGGAAATGCTGTGACGTGTTTTCACAGGGATCTACAAGTGCACGTTCTCGCACAAGAAGCTGGGGATTCCCAAAGAGCAGCTGGCCGGGAAGACGCTGCCCCACCTCATTCCTCTCAGCATAGACGGCAACCTCAACCTCAACCAGGTGAGGCGGAGCTGGGCCCGAGGTCCGAGGGGTTTCTGTCCCTGCGCCTTTGGGCTCTAAACAAGTGCGGAGTAAGAGAAGCCCAAAGTGTTCCCAGCTGGAATAGCCCTGCTTTGGGGGAAAGCACGAGAGCTGCTTGGAGATCTCGTTGTCAGTCTCATTTTGGGCTGGCGTTGGGGGGAAAAAAAATCATTTCTGACCATCTAATGCCCCCCCCGCCACCCTAAATACTACTGTACATCACGAGCAGGGTTCTGTGCTTTCTGCTTAGACTCCCCTGGGCTGCCGAGTCACCGGGGTGGGGTGTGGATAACAATTCACTTGAGGGTCTTGCAGTCTGGCCAAGCAGATGAGCTGCTAATTGTTCCCACAGGAGCCTGTGCTCCAGAATGAAGGCGATGGGGAAGAGGTGCCATCATAGACAGGGGACTGAGAGGCTTGGCGCTGCGCACCACTGGCGACGCGCTCGCCCGCTGACTGCACCAAGAGCTCTGCAGTCCCTAAAATGTTTTCTGTATGTTTTTTTTTGCACAAGTTCAATTCCTTCATGGCTGTCATCAAAGACATGTTGAGTCGCATGGAGACCGAGCACAAGACCAAACTGGAGCAGCTGCACGTCATGCAGGAGCAGCA